CCCCCCCCCCCCTCCCCTCTTCAGAAAAGTCAATTTCGGTCAAATTTATCGATTTTGTGATTTATAACTCGTTAGATAGAGCAAAGTGTCTACTCTCGAATGTACTATAGTTGATTGATTTTATGATGAGATTCAAGGATATTACATACGATTTTCTGAACCTTCATATTGAAAAAATAAGGTTTTTAAAAACTTATTTTCCGTTTTTCTCAAAATCCATTTTTTCGAGTATACTGCTTACGCAGGCAAACCTTACTCAATAACGACTCAATATAAAAGTAGTAATGCTTTTTTTGTTATAGAGCAGACACTTGGGGCTAGGTCGTAAGAGAGCCCGATTTTTGAATTTCTCCTTTGTTTAAATAAAAAAACTTAGATCTTTTATTTTAATTAGCGATTTTTTGTCCAAGAATTTGAGAATTTTTCAAAAAGATTTTTTTAAAAACCAAACAAAGGGAAATTAAAAAATCGGGCTCTATTACAACCTAGCCCTAGGGATACTCTACAATTTCAAAACCACGCCGACATGCTAAGCTAGTATCCTCATGTTGAAAACCTTGCCCGCGTAAAGGGTATTTTTGATCAATTAATTGACTACAACTCGTGAAAGGCTCGCAGATTTCGGAAGATATTTTAACTATAATCTATTCTAGCCAAGACTAACATTCTCTGAAATTTTGGTTGAAATCGGATGAAAAATAACAAAGTTGGTTTCTGAGGGGGGAGGGGGGCCTTAAAAGGGTTCAATAAATAATTATTTATCATCAAAGTCAATTAGTTTTTGACAAATGTTCTGTTCTTTATACGTGTTTTCAATTTTATGTTGTTTCATCAAAATTTAGAGTTGATATTTATTTTGATCGATTGATGAACATTTCAATTGCCATTTGAACATATTCTATCGACTTTTTCAGTCGACATATTAGTTTAACATTATTAAGAAAAAGTTTTCATTATGAAAATCCTCATAAGAGGTTATCGATTAAGAACGTCAAGATAACAATTTCCTCTTTTCACCCTCTTCTTTCATTCTAAATGTTCAATAAAAGAAACAAAATAGTTCCTGAAAACAGTTTGGTTTTCTCAAATATTATTATTATTTTTTGTATTACAAGAAAAACTAACTATGTATGGCTTGTTCAGCTAACAGTCAACCAGTATACTTAAAGTTGACGACTGAAATTCTCAGAAAGAAAATGTCTGCTTGTATTCATTTAAAATTTTTAAGTTTTCACATATTTGGCAACGATCTTATCGGATTTATTTTTCAAAACCCCGAAAATAAATGATAGCTGTCAGTCAAAATGAAGCATTTTTGCTCGAAAATAGCTTGAAAATGTACTTTCATCTTTAATCATATATTAGTCACTATTTTCTTTCTTCTATAATCCTATATATTAGTAGCTATATTGATCCTAAATCTCCAGTTTAGCATTGGCATTATATTATCTTATGTTCTTGTCAAAGTTGTAAAAAAGCATTTTTACAAATCTTCACAAAGCCGAGCGAGTACCTTACTGCAATATTTGATGTATAGCTAAGCAGCAACATAGCATTTTTTTAAAACTTCTATTTCCATTAGATAGATCAGACTTTCCGCTACAAACTTGCTGCCGACCATATCCCTGTGGAATTAAAGATGTGAAACACGATATAACTGCTACAACTAGCCATAGCGACAATATAAGAAATCATGGTCTGTGATGGTTCTGTAGCTTGTCTATGATGGTCTGTGGAGGGAGGGGGAGGGGGGGGGGGTACAAAATTTCTACTCTAAACACTTCAACACTCGTTTTAGATCGTGTTCCACAAAAAAAGAGGGCCATTTTTTGTGAGTACCTTATTGTCATGTATTTTTCTAATAAAATATGAATCATACAGTTAATTTAGATGAAATTTCCAGTCATTAAACAATTTCATAGTATTCATCAAGGACACAAAATCTTAAGGCTCTAAAACTTAGTTATTTCCGAGAAATTGAGATTGAAACTTGTCAAAACGTGAGTGCGTTACCTGCGAACAAGCCCTAGATCAACATTAGAAATCAATAAAGACACATTTTTTTTTATAAAATATGAATTATTAGAAATTTTTAGCTTTTAAAATACATTCTACATTAATAAGTAGAAAATAAAAATAAAGCTATTAGAATATTCGTGAGGAAATTAAAATTAGTCCATCTATTATAATGAGATGTTATTTATATACAATCATTCTATAATCTATCAATAATGCTTGTCACAATCTATGAAAGAAAAGATCCAAAGTTTTTTTCTATAAACCTCAACATATCTTCTAGATCATGTTAACGAAAGAATAAACTTCATTGTCAATAGTACTCAAAACTATAACAGAACATTCATTTACAGAATTAGTTTAGAAAAAAAAATAATCGAATATTCATATAAACATAATCTTCAATTATTTCAAAATAATATTTATGTCAAACTACTGTTGTTCGATATAATTTCTAATTAAAAATCTTGTTCAAAAGTAAATAACTCAGGTAAAAATTTCATAGATAATGTTTTCTATGATCAGATCAAATAATATAAGATATTCTAATCTTAGAAATCTTACACAATATTATAATAGAAAATTCTTGAGAGATCTTATTATGAAATAAAATTTTCAACAATTTTCTATTGATATTTTAAAATGCAGAAAAATCTTTCAAAAATCATTTGACATCAGTTATTTTAAAATATTTGAGACAGGAATAACGATCGTTTAGGTGAGTTTTAGAGATCTACAGGATTATACGATCATTCAGGATCTATATATGGATATGGATCTAATCGTCATCGAAACTCACAATCACATCCATCACGGTGTCAAAATTTTCTATCAGACAGGTTACAAGACGGAAAAAACGTTTACGCTACATACTTCTATTGTTGACGCTAGAATTAAATATGAGTTGATGTAAGATGAATATATCGAGTACAGCAATAACTAACGATCGACGCTTTTTCACCAGTCGAAAGAGGCTGAGTTAGGACATATTTTTATATTATATTGTATAAGTCGAAATCATTGTCTAACCAACTATTTGAGGAATCTTTCCGAAAAATGTATAATAATTTAATGTTGTTTAAATTAAATTTTTTTTTTAACACGCAAATAAGATAGAAGAACTTAAGATCTATAGTTTAAGATACAATGCGAATGATTAATTTCTCATCGTCTAATGTTTAGAATATGAATTCAGACATTTCCATATCGAAATCATAGGAAATATTGGTGATTTTTCAACAATTTTTTTTAATTTTTATCAAATTTTCATCAGAACAACAAGCGTTTTTGACAAAATGTAAGAAAATTTGCATATTAAAATGAAATTTTGATTTGAATAACATTAAATTATAATAGATTTTTCGGAAAGATTCCTCACAAAACAAAAATTGGCTCGATAATGATTTCAACGTGTACAATATAATATAAAAATATGTCTTAACTCATCCTCTTTCGACTGGTGAACAAGTGCAGATCGCTAGTTATTTCTATTGTGGAGATATTCATCTAACATCAATCTATATTTAATTCTAGTGCCAATAATAGTTTGATTAAATAAAATTAAAGATGATTTTTGACTTGATTTTTAAATTTCTATTACATGTCTTTGCTTTCATCTTATTTATATAGTAAGAATCTATTCGAATAGCTAATTACAAACAAATAATAGATATATCTCATCAAGAAATCTTTCGAATAATCTAAATTATTTCGCTCAAGATATTAATTGAGTTTGGTTAAATCAGAAGCATAAATCCATTTCAAAGTTCAATGTCTGTATGATGTATTATTATTGGAGTTTATTTTGTTCAAACTATATTTTGATATAAACATTGAATCTGAATATATGTATGAATTTGAAATAGACACATTTAGTCGAAGTTAATATATTTACTCAAAACACGATCATAACTTAATTTAACTCAATTAATATCGTCTAAATTATTAATTTAATAGTCTATTACTTTTTGTAAAATAATTTATATCTAATTGATATTTAATAAAATTTAGATCATTTATGAAAATCTTCATAAATTGAACATATATAGATTGATATTTTCATAGAAAAACATATATTTAATTCTATTATTGATTAAATAACTGGAAAATCTAAAATCAACGAAAACAATCAATTTGAATATATTTATATATCCAACTGAATTTATATTCGTAGGATGAATACAACTGAAAAATAGTTCTATTCAAAAGTCTAAAATGTCCGTATGATTAAAAATCTATGGCATTCTTTTTTAAATTCAAAATCAAAGAATTTCAACCTGAATTTTATATATAAGACGTCAAATTTAATTCACTATAATATATTCAAAACAAAACATTATTATTTTTGTCATCAACTATGATTTACATTTTTCTCGTTTATATGTTATAAGGATTCTTTTTTGAGAATTTTTCAATAGACAAAAACGAAAAAACATTCATGGATTTTTATTCTTTTACGATGATATGAACGCAAATAAATGAAAAATAGAAAATTAGTATAAAAAATTAATTCGATCAACAATATTGTAGACGTTGTATAGAAATGAAATCTAATCTAATCATCGTCTATTGATTCATTTTTCAAAGAAAAAAAAACACATTCACTAAAATCTATTTAATCTAGTCTAGTTTTAATACTAATGCAGAATGTTAGAATTATTTTATTATTCAATCATTTTATAGCAATCAATTCTTCTCAATACAGATGTTTTTTTTTCAAATAAAAAATCATTGCATAGAATACAGATGAAAATCTCATTTTTTTTTTCTTGAAGATTAAATTTATTTTTCAATATTATTTTATGATTTTTGTAGATAATATGAATTTCCATAGCATAAAATAGAAATCAATTTAATATTGACTTCTTCTTGAATGTTCAAATGAAATATATTTTTTCTTATTAAATCGAAACAATTCAACTAACATTTTAATATAGGAAAGTATATTGTTTTGTTAAATATTTTATTTTCTTCTTTATTTTTCTGTGTAATCAATGAAAAATTTCATTAAATCATTGAAATAAAAACAAGAACAATTTTTAGAGATTTCTTTTTTTTTCCTGATAGGAATAGTATTGTGACACAATATCACTATCAAATGTTTTTTTCAAGGAAAGATTTTTAAAAATTAAAATTTCGATTTGATACATTGAGAATGTATAAAACTAAAGAAATTTTAAAATAAAATTCATGTTTTTTTTACACGATAATTTCTCGATTCGTTTGTTAAATTCTTCAACGATAACTTACTATATAATGGAGCTGCAGGCGGATTATTACGTTCGAATTCAATTATCAATTGAAATGATTCTTCAAAAGCAGCTGCACGACTAAGACAATCAATCTAATTAAATATAGATAGACTATTTTTGAAAATTTCTCAAAAAGAAAAAACAAAAAAAAACGATTATTTAACATACGTATGTTGTAAATATTATTTCTGTTTTATTTTGAATATCGTTAAAAATTGAACGAGCTATATTAACAAGTCCTGAATGTGAACATGCATTCAGAACGCAAACATAAGTCAAATCATTGATAAATTTTTTAGGCATTTTACGAAAAAGTTCAACTGCTTGAATACCCATTCCATTTAAACCATAGCAATTAACTGATATATATATATATATCAAAAAAATAATTAATTTATTATTTAAAAACAAATTAAATCAAACAGACTCATTGCTGTATATCCAATTTGATCTGGTTGAGACATTATTTCAAAAATTCGCTTTGCTTCATTGACACAACCAGCTTTTCCCTAAATTTATTTCCGAAAATAAAAACAAATATATGTTTAAAAGAAAAAAAAAAAGAACTGTTCTATCATACCCACATATCAATAAGAGCATTTTGTATTCTATGATAATTAAGAATAAATGTTGGTATTCGTTTAACCATCAATTGACATATTGGTAAGATACCAATTTGAGATAAAGCTTTTATCAGACAAATATAAATTCCTATATTTTCTTCATTAATATCAGTTTTCAATATCGAAAATAAGTTTGATTTTTTCTCATTATTATTTTCTATATTTGGCTGATCATTATCAATTTTATTGAAGAGATCAATTGCTTTACTAGCCATATCATTTATTACATAGCCTGGAAAAATAAATATAAATATTATAGAATAAATTATAGATATGATTAGAAGAAATCTCGAATATTGTTCATGAAAAAGTGTGCAACATGAATATTGCATACAGAACAATATAGTTGAGAAACTCACGTACGAAATAAAAATATTAATATTTATTATCCAAAAGATAATTTAAGTTCAAATAGTTACAAAATTCAAATGAGTTTTGTTAAAATACTTTTAACAAGATGTTTAACTATGTTCATAATATGATTAATTAGGTTTAATATACAAAAGTTTTCATCATATTTTAAAAACAATCAGATATTATTGACAGACGATTAAATAATAAATCATTGTACATATCGATATTACTAAGAGGAATTTACTTAATATTTAATGAAAAACATGTTTCCTATATTAAAATGATCATTCGTTATCTAAATAATTCTTTATTATCCATACTCAAATATGTGCACTAATCCTACTCCTATTGAATTCATCAACGTTTATGTCAATGTCAGTATTAACTATACAAAAAACATAATAAGAATTATATGATAGAGAACTATAATTTCAATAACATTCGATACCTTTTCAAAAGTTTTGTACGAACATAAGAAATCTTCCAATGAATTTTTAAAAATCTAACCAAATTTTTTAAAGCTTTTCCATATTTCTTTTACGAAGTATTCAAAAATATTTCGAATTTATTCTAATCTTTGAAAATCTTCTTAAGTTTCGTAGAACACATGAAAATCTTTGTAATTCTATATGAAATTTTCCTTTTCTTTTTTTGTTTTAATATATTCCAGTGAATCTTCTATATGAAAAATGTAAGAACAATATCCAATAATATTAATAGATAATAAATATGAATTTTTATCTCGTAGAGAAAGTATCTGTACAAATGATTCGTTGAATCGATAAATAGGTATTACCTTTCATCATAGTTGCATACAATGGTAATGTTTTAACTGTTGATTTTTCAAACAATATTTGAGCATGTTTAATATCATCACATTCGATTAATGCATTAACAAGTGATGTTAGAATATAAGGATTTTTATAAAAAGATATAGGAATATTTGATGAAACTTTTTTAAGTAAATTTAATGTTTGATCTGTTCCAATATGAGCACATGCACTAAATAGAAGATTTATAATAACTTGATTAGGATTTATAATTTCATTAAAAAGATCAATTGCTTTTTCTGGTTGATTATTTTTTATATAGCCTAGAAATAATCAAATAAAAAGTTTAAAATTTTTACAAAAACAAACCAAAATTTGTAACCTTTCATCATTGTTCCGTAAATAATTAAATTTTTCTTTCTTGATCTATGAAATAAAGATTGAGCATGATTAACATCACCACATTCCACTTAAATTATAAAATAATAATAAATGTGTGATTGTCATATAACTCTATTTATTATTTCATAATATTCTCCTCAAATAACGCATGTTTTTATGGACTCTTCAAAAAAATTTTTTTTAACGACATTAAAACTTTGAAGTCTGATTTGACATTTTTCTGTTTGTCTTCATGTTCATAGATAAGAAAACAAACCACATATATTATTAATGTAATTTTAATATTTTTCATATAACATATTTAGAACAGTTAATATTAATTAGAAAAATAATTTTTTTTCTATAAAATTTTGGATTCAATAATAGAAAATACATTTCGATTTTTGTACTCGAAAACTTTCTTTCCTAATTATATTTTTAAATTATTTCTATGAAGATGGCCTAAATAAATTTATTTTGTTTAGTTCTATTCATTTTAAAAACAATTTCATTTATTGATATTGTCTTATTTTCTATTATTTACGCAGTTTTATCTTTTCATTTGAAGAAAAAAGAAAAATTGAACCATTTATTTTAGAAATATTTATTTTCAATTGACTCAAAATGAAACGAATTTCTAATCATTGATATTGTCAATTTAAAAATAAGACAATAATTTTATTTATTTTTCAAAGTAACTCAAATCTTTGATAAATCTAACAGATGTATATCAATGTTAAAATAGTTTGTTCAATTTCTATTTCAAACAGTTTTTTTTTATGTAACAAAAATGTTTTGTCTTTAGATAAAATTGTTTTAAGAATCTCGACAAGAAACATTTTCATATAATCTTTCTTTTCTTATTATTCGATCAAATTTAAATAAAAAAAACTGATATTCATGATCAATACGATGAATTCTGTATTAATATCTATCTACATGACAAAGATAAATTACTTAAAACAAAATTCTTTTTATTATTTAACGCTAAATAAATTTAAAAAGAAAAGATGTTTTTTAAATAATGATTTGATATATATGATCTTCCATATTTTCATAAAATAGAAGTTTATATTTAAAAAAGAGACATTTTTTTAAGATAAGGTTTTTCTTGGTTCCGATAAAATTTTTTTTTTACAGGTAAAAGTACTCAAAAATATGTTTATACAACAAATCTTGAGATATTTATTTAATTAAAATGATTTTAATTTTCGATTTTTACTAATAAAATAATTTATCGAACATTCAATCTTAATTAAAATCTTAAAAGTGATTTGAACAAAACATTTTCTGCTTAAATTACTCTCAGCTAAATTTATAATAATAGAATTCATTCGAAGGATTTTGGCTTTTTAAATAACATTGGATTTTTATGAAAAGAAAGTAAATACCATTCGAAAATATAATATAGAATAATAAAAATCATATTCAATATTATACTTAAAACTTCCTAAAAATAGTGACAGATAAAAAAAAGAAAACGATTAAGTTAAGTTTGATAGAATAAAGTAAAATTATTATTTGAACAAAAATTTTATATAAATATTCTTTTCAACATCAGACTGTGAATAAAATGTTTTAGATAGTTCATCCTTTGTTTTGTCTTATTCTTACTAAAAGACGAAATGTCTAATAAAAACAAAAAACCTACAGGAATAGTCCAGCAGTCATGTTATCGAAAAAAAATAAAGTATCTTCATCAGAACTCCACCAAAGCGGCTCATTTTTTTAGCAAGGATGGAAACATGTTCGAACTCCAAATTAATACGGGCAAGGTTAGTCACAACCTTTGTTACTTATCATTATTGACTTCAACAAGAATATTTTACTTTTTCACAAATAAGAAAAGAAAATAATATACTTGAGAAAGGTTCTGACTAATCTTGTCCCTATGAACATAGTTCTATCCTTGGTATAACAATGAACTCGTTTGAACGATTCGTAATGAAACTACTCTATTTTTTCTTGGTAATATGACTTTTGAGTCACTCTCTATTCAGAAATATTTTTCACAGATTGAAAAATCTTTCTAAATTTTCTGAATAATTAAAATAATCAATATAACATAAAAGAGAAGAGAATAAACAGTAAACGAGTCGATTAACAAATTCATAATGGCATTTAAAAGATGAAAAAAAAAAAGAATTTTTTGTTGAATATCTATCTTCCTACCCTTTTCATATTTCAAATAGTGTCTTGTAAGTTCGAATTTTTGTAGGTGTACTTCGTCAAGTAGTTTTTTTTTAATATCTGTAGCTCGATCCGAAACTCCTTTTACAGTCATATTGAATTTTTCCTAACTTAACTTCACATGAAAAAGAAGAGTATTTTGTTTTTTTTCTTTAAATTAAAAAGAGAAAAATGATCTCAAATCATAATGTGGCTCAATATCTTTTGATACAAAAGGCGGATGTGCAATAATACAGATCAATCATCCTAGATAACGTCAACATTATTTTATTAGTCGATAAATCAGAATTCAACACTAATTAGTTTTTTCAAAAGTTTATTTTCTATTTTATAACAACATTATTTTTCATATATCAGCGTCTCTCTCTCTCTCTCTAGTTATTGTTCAGTTAAAATTTTCTCATTTTTTTTTAATTATTCAGAGAATAAGAAATATGAGAATAATCATCTAAAAGTCTTAAAAAATCAATTTTTTATATGGGTAAATGTTAAAGATGATGTCCTAATTAAATCTTTTTTTTTTTCATTCGTATCAAATTATAGTTATTCTAGTTGCATCAACAAGAGTTTTTAATTGATTACATAATTTCATATACTATTTCTAATTTACTTTAACTACAATATATCATAGTTAATATCTGTATTTTCGACTAACATTCGATAGTTTTTCTCGCCGAAGAATTCTTCCATTGATCTTGAAAAATAAACTAACATATTTTAAATCAACAGAAAAAGTTCTTATTCAACATCGATAGATTTTCAATGTTTTGTATGACTTTGATTTTTGTTTTTCGAAAATGTTTCTTTGAATCTTTTATGAAAGCGAAACTTCTCTCATTTTTAAAAAAGTGTCATTTTAAAAGGAAAACATAGATTTCTAATTATTTAAATAAAGTTGATTACTATTTAGTTTATTTATGAAGGAGACTAAAAAAAGATTTACGACAAAAAAAAATCAAAGTCATAGAAAATATTTGAAAATTTTCTAAGTTGAATGAAAAGATTCTTCGACGCGAAAAAGCGTCGAATATTAGTCGAAAAGTGATGTTTTCTTCATTAAAAAATGAATTATCTTAGAAAAAATAATATAGAATTCGATTTTTACTTTTTATTCTCAAATGTATAATCAACTGTTCGATAATAATCGAATCAATTTTCATTTATCTATTATTATATAAATAGCAATTTGAAAATATTTCAAAATTATTTTAAAGATATTAAAAAATAGATTATCTGTCGATTTGTGTACTGAGAACGAATTTAAATCAATATTCGGTTAAAAGATATTTTTTTATATATTTGATATGCTTATCAATTACAGAAATATTATATTGAATATATCTTCAATTTATCTTTTCAATAGTATAAATCACAATTCTATCGTTGTTTTATCTGAAAAATTATTTAAAATAAACAAAAAAAATCAAAATAATCGGTTTTTTTCTTTTTATTTATTTCAACATAAACAGTCATAATATCGTCACATCTAAGATTAATTTCGCCAACACTTTTCCTATGTTCTAAAAATTTTATTTATTTATTTTTTTTCGTTTTGAAATTAAAGATATAAATGTTCTCTATCGAATTTGATTCTTTAGTATTTCTATATTAGACTTTTAGATGTTCATTTTATATTTATATCAATTTTTTTTTACTTGAAAAAACAAATTTTTTTGAGAAGAACTTAATTGAAATTTGATAGACTAAATAGATTTCGAAGGGAATAAAAGTTCTTCAATGAAATAATGTCATAGAAATATTACTTCTCATATAAATATTCGAAAAAGTTAGTTATTCTTACATTTACTTATTTAACTAAAAGTATAATAAGATTTCTTCCATATACTTTCTTTATTTCAATAAAGTGTGAAAATTTTTCTTAGATTAATGTTTTTTAAATAGTCTAAATATATGTTAACAAAAAAAAAAAAAAAAAAAAAAATCTTCAAGTCAGAAATTATATATTTTTCTATGAAAAACCTATAAGAATTTCTATTAAATAAATTTCTATATGTTTCTTTACAATTATAAAAAGTTCTAAAATATTTTTCAACATCTTACTGTTATCTCAGATATAAAATAAAATATTGGTCATATCATTTTCAAAAGTTTTATTTTAATAAAAAATTTGCGAACTGTTCAAAAATATGTATGTATCACTAGTTTAGAATTAATCTTGACGAAATAAAACATGATTGAATTAATTTATCTCTTGTTGTTTTAAATAAACTTACTATAAAAATGAATTATTGCTGGTAATACATACGAATCATATTTTAATCTAGATGATATAAGATTATGAATAATTGAGCCATGTTCAATATCACGAAGATTTGTACATGCTCTTAATGCTTGAATTATAATCCAATTAGAACATTTATCAAGATTTTTGTCTTTGTATTTATTAAATAATTCAAGTGCACTTTCAAATTGTTTAGTATCATTTAGAATTTTCATTTGATCACCCAAGTTAATATTAGATCGATTTGTTGATAAACAATTTCCAACAATTCTAATCAATTTTAAATGATTATTAATCAATAAAGTTTTTATCATATTTATATTTAAATTATTTTTCAATAGAATCTAAAATAGAATCTTTTATTTCTATGAGAATAATAAAACTGAATAAATAAATAAACATTATTAATATCTTTTGAATAAATTCATATAGATATTTTACTATATATAGATCATCATTTGAAAATTATTTCAAATATGTTTGTTGAAATTTAAAATCATTCTCAATATATATGTATACATATCATACGATTGGTTGTATGCACGCTACTAAAACATTTATTCGTTCATTTATTCATTCAATAAGATATATATGAGAACGAAAGGTGGCGCATAGTATCATGTTCACGAGAGTCTCTATATAAAACATATTAGATAAATATAAGAATATATTTATTTAAAAAGGATATTGACAAATACATTACCAAATAAGATTATCTTGATAGCATAGAGAGGGAGCGAATAGCAAAATTTAGAATAAATCAGTAGATATTCTCGAAAATATTCATATATATCGATTAGAAAGTATATATATAATGATCACTTTCTCTGGTATAAACAATGTGATGATTGAATCAGAACATTATTTTAAATCTATTTCAAAATAATGCTATTTTATAATTAGCATTCGAACCATGAACATTTCAATCACTTTACTTTCTCACTATATCTTCTTTATTATATCTGAATTTAATTTACCTATAAAGTCTTTCGATTATAGTATTCATCTTGTCAATTGATTGAAAACTACACGATTGGAAATAATATTATTGCACGGGAGTACCGCTATTATTTCAAATAGAGTAATTGATCAATTTTATAACAAGCGAAAGTGCGTCAGAAATAGGCTTTATTCATACTAAACAATAAGAGTCATCGAAACTTTTTCGTGTCGAACTTCATTAATTTTCAGAAATTTTATATTTTTTTGGCGTAGAAAATGAAGGCGACACCAGTTGAAAAATGAAATAAAACTTTTTTCTTGAATATTTCTACATGGTTCGATAGAGTTTGTTGAGCTCTACAAAACTGTATATATTAAAAAACACTAAGACATGTTTCTACGATAAAAAAAAACTCGAAAAACTATTGATAAAAGCTTAAATAATGTTAAAAAAAGCTTGTTAGCGCAGCCCCTTTGGGGCTGAAATATGAAACCCACGTATATTCTTCAGCTTCATTGCACTAATATGCAAAATATAGATAGCATAAAATCATGAATTTTTTACTTTTCTGACAGACGCCCTTATTTTTCGTCTTCTTTGTTGCTATTCGCTCAGTATTTTTCGTTTTTAACATTACTTTTTGCTTTAGTTTTACATTTTTATTATAAGAAGCATTGAATTATATGGAGAATGAAGCTGTTATCTATATATATAAAGAAGAATGTTTGTCTGTTTGTTTGTCTGTTCGCTATGCATTTGAAGACCGTACGAGTAAATGCTATGAAACTTTCCAGAAATGGTCTTTACACCCAGGGAAAGGTCGACATGTATTTTTTTCCGAAAAAAAACGGATCCTACACATGCTATAGGCGATCTATGAAACCGACCAATAGGGTTGCAGCATTCCAAAAAATTAAAATAGTTGATAGCGAAGGCAGCCGAAGGCCGTCTGAGCGCTCATCTATATACATAAAGAAATGTGTTTGTGTTTATTTTACTTACAACAATGACGTATGCATTTTTTCTTACGTACAAAGATGACGTCTTTGTTCGTTTTCATGACTCAGAAATATGACTTATTAACGATATCTATATATACTATTTATACAATTTTACTCAATAATTAGCTGTATTACATTCTTGAATACATATGACTTCATTTCTTTGTCATTTGTTGTGTATGATGCCATGTATAATATTCCTCCTCATATATATCATATTTTATATCGTCATTGGAATGTTTACGTCACGCTAAATGATGATGATGATATAGAAATATGCTATTGTTTTGCATCTATATAAATAGGTATCTTTTTCTTTTGTTTTTCATTAATAAAACTAAACTCACTCTAGTGTTTCTTATTCTTCAACGCTTTTAATAAAATCAATATTCTATTCTATCACTGAACATAATTGTCCAAAAACGAGTAAGTGTCCAATATTCCATATAAAAATTATAAGCTTACAGGTTACCAAATATTTTTCGATCGTGATATCAACAGTAAATTCAAAAGGTAAGATTGCAAATTCATTCTCTTCGGAGCATTTTCTATTTTCTATATTTCTTATTTAGATAAAAATATTACGTGATGCCAGTAAAAAAAAGAGCCTCTTTGGGAAGAAGTACATCAACTGCAAGAAGAATGGCAGCAACAAGAGCAGCTGAATCTTTAGAACGGGGACAAGATCGACGAGAGGAGGATCGAGCCAGACATGCAGCTTCAAGAGCAGCTGAAGATTCTGAAGACACACGCACTCGACTTGATGGTCAACGTGCAAGACAAGCAGCTTCAAGAGCAGCTGAATCTCCAGAACGGAGACAAGATCGACGGGAAGAAGATCGAGCCAGACATGCAGCTTCAAGAGCAGCTGAGGATCCCATATAGAGACGGACTCGAAGTGAAGATCAGCGTAGACGACAAGCAGCCTCAAGGGCAGCGCAATGGACATTTATGGAAGGGGCAGCGTTTCGGTATGATCCAGCCAACAACTATGACAGCCATCCTCAGCTTTATATTGGACAAATGAGCGATATTTGTCCATACTGTAATGCCCTCAAGTGGCATGCAGAAACATAAGGTATGTGCTGTTCTGGTGGTAAAGTAAAGTTACCTGAACTTCAGTCTCCTCCTGAACCACTGAAATCATTAATGTCAGGAACAACGCCTGAATCGAAGCATTTCTTGGATAACATTAGAAAATACAATTCCTGCTTTCAAATGACATCTTTTGGCATGTCAGAGAAAGTGTCTGACTCAGGCTTCATGCCTACTTTCAGAGTTCAGGGTCAAGTATATCATCGCGTAGGATCTCTGCTGCCGCCTTCGAATGAAGAACATAAATTTCTTCAAATTTACTTCATGGGCGACGATCGAAAAGAAGTACAACAACGTTGCAAAAACATGCCTGGCGTACGTCAGGACATTGTCGAGAAATTGCAGCAAATGGTTCATGAGCACCACATTTATGTTGATCTTTTCAAGACTGCCCTTCAAAGAATGCCTACAGATCAATACAAGGTGCTTATTCGAGCAGACATGAAATCTGCTGGAGAGCATGCACGTCGTTTCAATGAGCCAGTGACAAATGAGGTGGCGGTTGTCATCGCTGGCAACGACTTTGAGAAACGAGATATTGTTTTGGAGAAGAAAAATGGCCAGTTACAGAGAGTATCTGAGACACACAGATCGTATGATGCCTTGCAATATCCTCTCATCTTTTGGAAAGGTGAGGATGGCTACCATTTTCTTATCAAACAGACTGATCCAACAACTGGAATGGCTGTCACTGGCAAAAAAGTGTCGGCTATGAGTTTTTATGCTTACAGAATTATGGTACGAACAGGTGCTGTCAATCATATCTTACAGTGCCGACAACTTTTCCATCAGTATGTGGTTGACATGTACGCTAAGATCGAAAGTGAAAGATTATCTTTTCTACGTTATAATCAAAAAAAGCTTAGAGTGGATGAATACATTCACCTGAAAAATGCTATAGCCAATGATGGACGTGCTAACAATCTTGGTCAATTAGTGATTCTACCAGCAACTTTCACTGGAAGCCCCCGGCACATGCATGAGTATACACAAGACGCTATGACTTATGTAAGAAACCACGGAAGACCCGACCTCTTTATAACATTCACCTGCAATCCTAAGTGGCAAGAAATTCAAGCAGAATTAATGGAAGGTCAAGCTCCCTCTGATCGTCATGACCTATTAGCAAGAGTGTTCAGACAAAAGCTCATTAAATTGGTCAACATTATTACCAAAAGCCATGTATTTGGGCCAACAAGATGCTGGATGTATTCTATTGAATGGCAAAAGAGAGGACTACCACATGCCCATATTTTGATGTGGCTGAAGAACAAAATTAAAGCAGATCAAATAGATAGCGTAATCAGCGCAGAATTACCTGATCCTGAACGAGATCCTCGACTATTTGAAATAATTATCAAGACTATGATTCACGGTTCATGTGGAAGTATCAATCCAAACTCTCCGTGTATGGAAAACAAAAAGTGTACAAAAAGATATCCAAAACAACTTTTGCATGATACAGAAACTGGTGATGATGGATATCCATCGTATAGAAGAAGAAGTTCAGAAGATGATGGTATCAAAGCCAAAATCAAAATGAGAATTAATAACTCCATTCAAGAAATCGAAATTGACAACAAGTGGGTTGTGCCATATTGTCCACTACTCTCTCGGATCTTTCAAGCCCACATTAATGTGGAATATTGCAACTCGGTAAAATCAATCAAATACATCTGCAAATATGTCAACAAGGGCAGTGATCAGGCAGTGTTTGGTTTGGGAAGAGATGGAGCACCAGTTGATGAAATTAGTAACTACCAGTTAGGTAGATACATCAGTAGCAATGAGGCAGTCTGGCGAATCTTGGATTTTCCAATTCACGAACGATATCCAACCGTTGTTCATTTGGCTGTTCATTTGGAAAATGGTCAACGCATTTATTTCACCGAAGATAATGTTCATGAGAAAGTTAATGAACCACCAAGAACAACACTAACAGCATTTTTCTTACTCTGCCAGAAAGACGACTTTGCCAAAACGCTGTTGTACTGTGATGTTCCAAAATACTACACATGGAACGCGTCTGAAAAAGTGTTTAAGCAGCGTGTTCAAGGAACTGCTGTGCTTGGCTATCCAGACGTTAGAGAAGAAGATGCGTTGGATCGTGTTTACACTGGGCATCCTAATAATTTCGAATGCTTTTTCCTAGGACTCTTACTTCATGCGGTCAGAGGCCCTACTTCATTTGAAGCTCTTCGAACTGTAAACGGTTGCATCTGTGCAACATTTCGTGAAACATGTCAACTACATGGATTACTGGAAGATGATCAGCAATGGGATGCCACCATGTCCGAAGCAGCTGCAGCTCAATCGCCAGCAAGATTAAGAAATCTATTCGCTCTTATACTAGCTGTTTGTGTACCATCCAGTCCAAAACAGTTATGGGAGTCGTACAAAGAAAGCTTGACTGAAGACATTCTGAGAAATGCTCGCAGACAAAATCCTGGAATGAATTTGGATTATAAACCAGATATGTTTAATCAAGCACTGATTATTATTGAAAGTAAAATTTTAGAGATGGGTGGCAAAGAACTTGAGAAATTAGAGCTCCCAATTCCTCAACGAAATTCGGGTGATCGATTAAACAGTGCAATGCTCAGAG